AAAAAAAAAAAAAATAGAATACAAAAATTTAATAAAGTTACAATAAAAAAAAAAAAAGAAAAAATAAAAGATAAATAAAAAAGAAATATATAGGGATTTATGCGTGTTTATTATTTTAAATTAAAATAAGGATTTATATTTTATAATAAAAAAAAACCCTTATGTAATTATTTTTTATTTTTGTATTTTTAAAATAAAAAATAAAGTAGTTTTTTTATTAGTTTTCCTTTAAGAAAAAAAATGTATATTATATATATATATATTATATATATATATATATAAATTATAAAAATAAAAATTATGATTTTCTAATTTTTCATTTTTCCTTTTTCTTTTTTTTTTTTTTTTTATCGTATTAATTCACACACATTTATTTTTTAAAAAGGCTATTTTACATTCTGCTATAAATTTTTGTAGAAACTCTTTGTTCTTATCCTCTTTTCTTTTTTTCTTTTTTTAATTAAAAAAAAAGTTTAATTTTAACATTTTAAATATTAATTTAATATTATTAGTTACCTTTATTTTTAATAAAGACAATACATAAAAAAATGCAACCTTTAATTTATACCATAAATAAACAATTATGTAAAATACTTTATATATAGCTTTTTATAATATATGCTTAAAAAAAAAAAAAAAAAAAAAAAAAAAAAAAACTTAAGAGTTATAGCAAGGGAATTTTTTTTAAAAGCCTTTTATATTTTTATGTTGATAATTGTGAAATATATCTAATAAAAAAGAAGAATATATAACTTACATGTGTATAAATATATTTTAAAAATATATTTAAAAACCCATATGGATGAATATTTACTTGATAAATATTATAAACAAGTAAAAATAAATAGTCTACTGATTATTTTTTCTTAAAAAAAAAGAAAATAAATAAGTTTTATATTTCATCTTTATATATTTCCTATCCTTTTAATATTTAAATTGTCTTTTTTATTCTTTTTTAATAATTATATACATTGTTAAAAAAAAATGCATGCGACTGTAACAAGTTATATTTAATTATATTTTTTAAAGAACATCGAAAAAATAAAGTGATTTTTTATTTAAGCATTAAAGAAAACTATTGGAATTTAATAGAATCAAGGATATTTTAGTAGAATACAAATATATTATAAAAAATAATTAAATTAAAATAATAAATATATAAATTTAAATGAATTGTAATCTAAATAAAAAAGGAAGAAAAGCAGAAATTCGAAAATATAGACTCACGTTTTTTAATTTTTTTTTCTTATGTTTTTTATTTGTTTCCTTTTCTTTCCCTCTTAACTAATCTTTAATTTTTCTTCTTTTTTATTTTTTTTTTAAGTTAAAATATAATTATATAAATATTTTATATTAGTTATTCCAAAATTTTTTGATGCATATAGCTATAAACTAAAACATAAATTTTATAATTTTTTTATATTTATTTTTTTAATTCATCAAAATGTGCCTAAATTTTCCTTTGAATTGAATAAAATTAAATAAAATATCAGTCATTTGAAAAAAAGTAGGTATATAAATAATAAAAAAAAAAATTAATTTTACATAAAATTAAGTAAATAAATGAACAAATTTTTTTTTTTTTTTTTTTATAAAAAAAAAAATCCATAAATAAAAAGAATGTGTTCACATTTTTTTTTTATTTTTTAATTCATTGATAACTTATATTTTAAATAAAAAAAAGAAAAAAAAAATTATGAGGTTTTCTAATATATTTTATTCTTTTCTTTTATTTCATCAGAGAAAAAAATTATCAAATAAAAATTATTTTTTAAGAAAAATATATAATTCTAGTAAAATGATATATAGTTTTGATTTTGAAGTTTTTGGAAAAGTTCAAGGTTTGTTAAATAAACAACAAAAAAGAATAATTTAATCAAATAGAAAATAATTATATATTATTTTTTTTTTGTTTTATTATAAATGTAAAACTACAATATATATTTTTTTATAAATAGTAAGTATATATATTTTATATCTATTAAAAATATATATATAAAAATAATAAGTAAAATATATATATTAAGAAAAAATATCAGAGACCATTTAATTTTTATAGGTGTTTTTTTTAGAAAATATACAAAACAAGAAGCTGATAAATTAAACATAAAAGGATATGTTCAGAATACTGATAAGAACACAGTAATAGGTAAAGCAGAAAGCGATAAAAAGGAATCATTAGAAAAATTCAAATTTTTTTTAACAAATGTTGGTAGCCCTTCTTCAAAAATTGATAAATGCATTATAACTGATGAAAAAACAATTAATAGTTTTTCAAGTACAAATTTTTTCATAAAAAAATAGAATTCGAATTCAAATTCAAATAAATACACATAACATAATTTAATAGAAAAAGAAAAAAAAAAAAAAAAGTCAGAAATGTCTAATATAAAAAATAAAATTAATATATTACAAAGTTATTGAAAGAAATTAAATTTTTTTTTTTTTTCATTTATAATTTGTTTTATAATATACACAGAAGAAAAAATATTAATATTTATTTCTTTTTAATACTTTTGTAATAAAAGAGTGAAACAAATAAATATTGTTGATTAAATAAAGATGAAAAAACGTAAAAATAATTCAAAAGTACAAGTTTTAGAAAGATCATTTAGAAGAAAAGGAAAAATTAAAACAATCTACGAAAAACATGATGATTTAGAATTTATAAATATAATTGATAAAAATATAAATTATATATGGAATTATATTAATAATATTGATGATATAGTAAATGATGATGAATTTTTAAAAGAAGAAATAAAAGAAAAGATAGAGAAAAAAAAAAATGTTAAGCAAATAGATGATTATGATGAAATAATTTATTACAATAAAAATTTGAGTAATCAAATTAACATACAAAAAATAAGAAAAGCCTTATATCATTTTAATATTAAAGTAAATATAGATGACATTATAAAAATGTTTTTATATTATACCAATAATGATTATTTTAAAAAAATTATTAAAAATGATATATATTCAAATGATTATATTGAAAAAAAAAAGGATGACAAAAAATTTAATTCGTTAAATATAAATAATTTATATATAAATTATGAAATGTTTAAATATATTTTTTTACACATTGATTTAAATATTGAGAGTAACGGCAAAATTTGGTAATACTTTTAAATTTTTACTTTTTATATTATTTCCCTTTTTTTTTTTTGATTTTTTTTTTTTTTTTTTTTTAATATATGCAAATATATATTGAATGAATTTATTGTTATTATATCATTCTCGTGTGTATTTTTAATTTCATTTTTTTCATATAAGGAAATAAAACAGAATAAATAGAAAAAATAATAATATATATTTTAACATATTTTTTTTAGAAATAATCATAATTTATTCTATATATTTATTTTATCTAATATTTATAAAAAAGCATTATTCATATACTATTATTTAATTAAGCAATTTTAAAAACATTTTTTTTTTCATACTTACAATATGAAATTCCTTTTTTTTTTTTTTTTTTTTTATATAATTAATCTAAAATATTTCAAATATAAGGATTAAAAAAAGTATATAAAGATAGATAACATGCTTTGTAACTTGCTTTAAACCCTCATAACATTTTATTTAAAAATGTTATGAAAAATAAGGTAAAAAGGAAGTCTTAGAATTTCTTATTTATTTTAAGATATCGTTCATTCTTATTATATGAAGATATAGGCTTTCTCATCAGTTTTCAAAATTTTATTTTATGAAATTACAAGGTAATTTCTTGAAAAGTTCTTTAAAATCTATATATATTTTAAAAAACGTATATTTATATATTATAATTTATTTTTTTTCTTCTTTATCAATATATTTTATTGTAACAATTTTTTTTTTAAATATCTCGTTTTTATAATTTTTATTAATTCAATACAAAAAAAATTTTTTTTTTTTTTTTTTTTTTTTTATTTAAACAAACAATAATTTTTTACTTTTAGGTTTGTACCAATTTTTTTATTAATATTTTTTAATTTTAAAAATCACATACACACAGATTTTTGTTGATTAAAAAGTTAAAAAAATCAAAAATCCTTTTTTTAAAAATTAAAAATATATGTACATAATAAAATGAAAGTGTTTTGAGAATTTTAAAGATAATTATGTAATTATAATTATAAAAAAAAATTTTTTTTTCCTTTCTTTTTAAAAATAATTATTTTAATTAAAATAATAAAAAAAAAAAAAATGAGTTATAAATATGAAGAACTGCTGGATAATGAGTTTATAAATTCAACAAATAAAAATGAAAATAATAATATTGAAAATGATATTTATTCAAACATTAGTTTAAATAATATATATACAAAAATAGTAAAAATTAGAAAAGAGCTTGAAAAATCATATAACTTATTCTACTCATATAATTTAGTTGTATCAAATCAAAAACAAGAAAATGATAACTTATATAATAATCATTCTAATTTGTATAAAAGAAATGATTCTATGAATCAAAATAAAAATACAAAAAATAATATAACCTTAAGTAAAATTAATGCTTTAACTAATTCTTTTTTTGTGAATGTTGAGACTTTGAAAAATACTTATTCTTTTATAAATGCTAATAATTTGAATAACAAAATAATAAACAATGAAAATGTAATATGGGAGAAGAGAATTGAAACTTTATCAAAAGAATCAAACTCTTATATAAAAACATTAGATAATATATATAAGAATAATTTAAAACAATCAGAGAAAAATAATAAAACAAATATATATAAAAATACAAAAAAGAAAAATATAAATGATACTATAAGTTATTTACATAATGAAAAGGAAATACTAAAACAAGTAGAAAATAATTTAAATATATTTCAAGTTCAAGGAATGAATGCTTTGAGTATGATAAGAAAACAAAATAAATTTTTAAAAAATGTTCGTAAAAAAGTCATTGATATGTATAATTATGTAGGTTTATCCTCTTCATTAATTGATGCTATAAAAAAGGCACATAAACAAAATTTAATTATTGTAATTGTTGGAATAATTTTAAGTTTGATATTTTTTTATGTTTTATATTCATATTTTAAAAAATAATTTATTATTTTTTTTTTTTAATGATATATATTTAAAATGAAATTAATTTTATTTTATTTTTTTTTTTTTTTTAACATTACTATAACTTAATCATGTATATTTAGATATATATTCATAAATCTTAGACTAATATAATTTAAATATATGTATGCAAAATTTATATTAGTTTTTTATTTATTTTTATGTAAGATGAATATTTAAAAGAAAAAAAAAAAAAAAAATTGGAATATTATTTATTATTTAATTTATTATTTAATTTTTTCGAAGTTCAAGGTTGTAATTTTTATAAATTACAATTTGCACAATTTAATTTGTTTTATATATACTTTTTTACTTTTCATAAGAATATGTTAATTTTTTTTTTTTTTTTTTTTTTTTGTTTATATAAAAACTTTTTAAAACATAAATTTTTTTTATTAAATAGTTCCTAATATATTATTAAAAAAATATTTTCATTTTTTATAATAGAAATTATAAAAAATTAATTCTACTGTTTTTATTTATTTAAATTAGTATATTATATATGAAAATATAAATATTTATAATATGATAATAACATGTATTTTTGTGAGTTCTTAAATAAATTCAACAATAATATAAATAAGAAAAAATATAATTTCTTCTATAAGATAAAAAAAAAAAAAATGAGTAAATAGTTTTATTATTAATATAGATAAAAAAAAAAAAAAAAAAA